AGGAGGAGGAGGAGGAGAAGGAGGAGGAGGAGGAGGAGGAAGAAGAAGAAGATGATGGAGGCGAGGATGCCGCAAACGACGGGAAACAGGGTGCTGCTGCAGCCGCCGCCGCCGCCGCTCCCGCCGCCCCCACGGCTAGCGTTAGCATAGGCGTCGGCAGGCAGCGCCGGAGCACGGCGGGCATGAGCTGGCGGCACGCATTGGACGACGACGACGAGGAAGAGGAGGCGGAAGAGAAGCGCCGCCGCCGAAAGCAAGACGGACGCGGCCGGCGGCAAGAGGTTCGTAAGCGGCAGCAGCAGCAGGACGGAGGGCGCGGGCGCCAGCAGCAGCAGAAGAGGCGGGGGAACGGCGGACCGTCGGATGAAGGTGTGGTGTGGGTGCAGTGCGACACGTGTAAGAAGTGGCGCAGACTGCCGGACTTCGTGGACCCGGACCAGCTCCCCCTCAAGTGGCACTGCGAGATGAACATCTACGACGTGGCCAGAGCCAACTGCAGGTATCTGCGTGTCTGTATATGTTGCTAGTGATGACCGGCGGACCAACGACAATGCACTGTTGTGTGGGCGCGTGTTATCGTATACAGGTGTTGTCTCATGGCGTGTTCAGTAGGTGCTGCTATGTCAAAGATACAATTTTGTGATAGGAACCGTCCACTTCTCTGCATTCGGGTTTCGACGTTATGGGCAAGGCATCGTCATTGTTCGCTAGAACGCTGGCTGGGTTAGTTCGGGTGAGAGACAGAACATTCGATGACAAATGCGCTCGACCAAAACAACACTGTGGCCTGTGTTGGAAGATACCCCTTCTACAATAGGAACAAGCACGGTTTAATTTTTGTCGATGGCTGTTGTTGTTCATTGTTGTTGTTGTTGTTGTTGTTGTTGTTGTTGTTGTTGTTGTTGTTGTTGTTGTTGTTGTTGTTGTTGTTGTTGTTGTTGTTGTTGTTGTTGTTGTTGTTGTTGTTGTTGTTGTTGTTGTTGTTGTTGTTGTTGTTGTTCTTGCTGTTGTTGTTGTTGTCGTCGTCGTCGTTGCTGTTGTTATGATTGTTGCCATTCACACCAGCAAGGCTACAACTCTAGGCCGTGAAAATGCGCTTTAAAAGCCCTCGACTTACCTAACACCGGCGGAGTCAATTGAGCCGATCGAGCCGTCAGTCTACTCTCTTACGTGATTCCGACGAGTTCTTTCTGACGCGTGGTTAATTGTGTTTATCGGTTCGTGCTCGTGTTGGGGTTGGACTGCTGTCGCTCTTACCCACAGGACAGAAGCATTTGACAACCGGTTTTGATGAGCGAAGACGGACGAACTTTGCAGGATACCGGAACACACGTTTCGAAATTGAACACGATGGATGCTCGGTATTCTCAGCACTAGATCAAGGCCCTGCGGAGACCTAGGGGGTTGTCGTGTGTCATGTTGGTATGTACTTCTGCTTCGAAGTATGTGTTTTGCAGAAAGGTGATCTCCGTTCTGCGGTGTGCTTTCATAGCCTTTTCTTTGCATCTCTGACAAACGAGCACCTCCACGCAACCAAGGGACGATTCGTTCGACAGAGAGAGTGCAACAAACACAAACAAGACCCATATCGCCCCCCCCCTCCGCCCCGCCTTGCTCCGTCCTCTCGAGGACGGGTGGTCAATGGTCTAANCGAGGTCAATGGTCTAACGACTACGGCATGCACGACTATGAGTACACCCCCCCCCCCCCCCCCCCCCCCCACCCCCCCCCCCCCCCCCCCACCCCCCCTCGCCCCGCGCGCAGAGCCAAGCAGGAGTCCTCGACCGCGACCCTGCTAGAAGCGGAACGGAAAGTTCGGCAGCAGAAGCGGCGCCAGCAGCAGCAGGAGAGGGAAGAGGAGGAGGACGAGGAGGAGGAGGAATCGGACGAGGAAAGCAGGGCCAAGGACGCTAACCTCCGCCGTTTCCTCTCTGGTTGGGCACGCCGCATAAAGTGAGTTTTTTCTTTATTTTTCCCCCTTCGTCATTTTTATTTTATTTGTTCACGTTTTGTTTGTTCCGCTTCAAAACGTTTTTTCCCCGCTTTTACAGGTGGAGTTTTGCCGCATTACGGGGCAAAGGATGCCAACCCCCGCCGTTTCTTGTCGGGTTGGGCAAGCCACAAAGAGTGTTTTTTTCTTTCGCACTGAAACTTGTTTTTCCCCCCGCGCTCATAACGTGGGGTTCACCGCGTGTGTAATGGCGACATGCTCGCTTCTGCACACCCCACAGAACGACTCAACTCGACCGTTTCGCACCCGCTCCCCCCCTCCCTTCCCTGACATCGCATCATCTGGTGGGTCTGCTTTCCACCGATGGTTGGACACACAATCGACGAAAATGTTTATGAAAAATAAAGGTGTGCGGAGAAGGCGAAGTCGAAGCTGGCTCCCTCCATGTCCACCCGCGGGAAGCGCAAGGCCCCTTCGCAGGCCCAGTGGGTTAGGTGTCAGAACTGCGGAAAGTGGAGAGCGCTCCTGAGGTGCATGGATGCCTCGCTCTTCCTGGGGCATGGACAGGTGAGAGAGAGACCCCTCATCGATTTTCCACAGTGTAGTGGTGGGCGTTTTGGTTCTGGATGGATGCCTCGGTATTATTGGGCAAGGGCAGGCGAGGAAGAACCTCCTCGGTTGTGTACCAACCAGCGGCAAGGAGAGGTTGTATGAAAAGTTGTCATATCGTCATTTTCTTATAGCCGGGGTGAGCGTGTAGGTGCCAGACACGGTCTGCGTGCTGACTCTCCCTAAGATTCTCCGTGTCGTGTTAAGGTAGTCTTGCTCTGTTGATCTATTTAGTTGCTTGTCCACCCTCTGGATCAAAACTCACGACATAATGCGGCCATCATTTTCCTAATCTGCACTTGCGCTAAGTTACGAACACTTGTTCATGGGTCTCTCTGTTGCCGTCGCCACTCCCTCTGCCGTCCCTGCGCTGCCCCCTTCTCCTGCGGTGTGTGTGCGCTTATGTCCTACACGATCACGAAACACCCCAAAACAGCAAATCTACACACCATCCGATACGAACACTCCCCCCGATCCGCCGTTGCACTGCCCCCCTTTTCCCACGGCATTCGTGTGTGCGTGTACCCTTCACGATGAAACCAGCAATTCTACTGCCTCATGAACACGTGGAACGAGTCCCTGGCGAGCTGTTCCGCCCCGCAGGAGAACCAGTACACCGTCGAGGCGCTCTTCCCCCCCCCGGAGCCAGCACCCTCCGACAGTGACCACGACGACGCCGCCGCCGCCGCCGCCGGCCACGGCATGAACCGACGTGATGGCGGCGACAGCGACTACGAAGGGGAAGGGAGGTCAAGCAGCATGTACGACTATGGTGAGTATAACTACGAATTCAGCCCCGGCATCAGGCACGGCGCTTCTCCCAGAGCGGGGGGGCGGGGGGNGGGGGGGGGGGGGGGGGGGGGGGGGGGGGGGGGGGGGGGGGGGGGGGGGGGGGGGGGGGGGGGGGGGGGGGGGGGGGGGGGGGGGGGGGGGGGGGGGGGGGGGGGGGGGCCGAGCGCGAGGGATGGTACCATGGCGACGAATACTACTGAGTGTGTCCGGGGGGGTCGAGCTGGCATCCGTTGCCCCCACACGCAGCCGAAGCGACCGTCGCTGCTGCTGCTGGTGTTGTTTCTCCCGGGGCGTGAGGTTTGAGTCCGTGGGTACTGGGCGGGCGAAGCGGCGGCGTCAAGCGCAGTCGTTGGTGATGGTGGTGCCTCTTGACTCCGATGGAAGAAAGGTGGAAAACGACAGCAAAGACGGTCATGCCACACCTGGCTAGCGCCGCGTGGAGCTGCCTCCCCTTATAAGACCCAGCGTCGAATTTGGGTGGGTGGGTGCAGTTGGTGCTTTCCGCCGCCGTGAATGGTGTGAGTGGCTCCCCTCCTTGGCGTCGGAAATCTGCATCGCTTGCTCTCGTCCACAATGCCCGTAGACTGGTTCGGTCAAAAGGCCGCCACAGTCGGCACTAATGAGCCGGTGTTCGGCCTAAACAATCAACACTCTCGAATGGGGGTGGGGGGGGGAGGGGGGGGGAAACAGAGATTGTGCGGTCCCTTGGTGTTCTGCCACCTGGGGTCGGTATGGTAGTCTTGGGAAAGTTTGAGTAACCTGTGGTGAACCTCGGACCTTGCAAGCCTTGTGATGCGGGCGTTTTGGAGTCCGAACGTCTTGAAAAGAGTGTAAACCCCCCTCCAACACACGGGAGTTGTAAAGGGAGTAGGGCTAGATAGGGCGTGGCTCTTTTATTCCGCTTGCTGCGGGACAAAGAGACAGAGCTTCGCCGAAGCTTTGAAGTGGCTTGGACGCGCAGTGAAGGGTGGTCGCACGTGCCAGCGTCACGTAGCGTGCGCCTCAGATTGTTTGCATACGCTACAGCGATAGCGACGAGGGGCAGGGAGAAGGGTGATGGGTGTTCGGTAGTGGGGAAGTTTCTATACCATATATCTTTACTCTAGAGGCGTAGCAAGTTGCATATATACTTCGTATTGTGCGGGGGCAATGGCCCACCACGAACCTGTTGTGTTAGGTGCAACTTTTGGCGCTGCGGCTATCAAACCTTGCCATTTCTTTTGTCAAAACCTTAGCACCACTTTCCTAGAACGGGTAACCCCGCGAGAGCCTGTGTCGTCTAGTATCCACAGAAGATCCGTGTTTGTTTATTAGCTTGTGCTTTTGTCTCCTGTGCGGGTTGAAGACGTTGTCACCTTGGTTGTGAAAGCAACAAGGAGTGTTAAGAATGTATTCGCCTATACAGATGCTCTTGTTCTTAACACCAACTGGCATCACTGATAACTCAGTGTAAGGCTTACACAAACTTAAAATAAGCCCAGTGTCCAGTCGGTTTCAACCCACTTACTGAAAATACTTCACCACATCCCTTTCGACTGAGGTTATATATCGAACGGGTAGTCTTCCTGTGAGGTTATGTTTAGACTACTTTATAAATTATAGACTTTTTACATGAGCACAAGCTCGCTTTGCCGCGTCGGACTTAACCTAAGTGCTCGTGCAAGACAGTGATGCCCGGCATTTCCTCCGTCAGACTTCTGCAGTAAGTGTAGGCAAAGCTGGGCAGGGTCAGGTGGCGCTTTGCCGGTACGGTTTTTCAGGGGGTTGGACTGACCATTCGGTACGGAAACACCGTCATGCATAGCAGCAGCGGGTGTTGGTCTCCTCCGGTTGGCACGTTGCGGCCCGTGAATTGATTATTATGTGTCAAGGAGTGGTGGTTCGAAGTAGTGCTTCGAGAGAGCAGTGTTCTTTCGTGTGGTGAGGTGTATTGTTGTCTTGACCAAAGTTGGCGGCCGGTTAGGCGTGTTGGTGGAAGGAGTACTTTTTTTGCTTCTATTGACGTTGACACATGCGTACAGAAGCGGCTCGATATGTAGCCATACACACGAGCCGGGGCATGACATTTCCTCCCGCCAAAGCGTTCGCTTTCGTCGGAGAGAAAACCCCCTTGATTTAGTATCGATCGACTGTGTTTGTTGTCGACGTTAAAGCAAGGGGCAGTTCAAAACATGTTTTATGCCTTTGCGCAAAATCTCTACCCACCTTTGAAGAGTAGTAAATGCATTTTCTGGACATTTTGCACAGAGGTATGATTCAGCCTCTGCTCCGCTTCTTCTTGTCCCTGCTGGAAGGCTTGGCGTACTTCGTGCAGTACCACGCTGACCCCCTCCATTGCATTCCCCCTCTGACCATGATTCGCGACAGATTTGCTTGCTCTCACGGGAATTAATACGGGAAGTTAGGTGCCATACGCCCGAAGGCATGCTACAGGGCAACCGCTGACACAGTCTAATCCACTCAAAACCATCTCGTGAAAAAAAAACGATACCACCAGTTGGTAGTTCCTGTACGGCACGATGCGGCCAGTCAGCCTGTGTACTGTGAGGCCTGTGACATCGCGTGACACAGATGCTCAAGTTGTCTAAACAATCCGAGTATTGCGAAACCGCGTGATACGGCCACTCAGCCTGTGTACTATAGGGCTGACATGGCGTTGTCTAATAAATATGGTGGGATGTTCAAGTTTTCTCAATCATCTGAGTATTGCCGTGGGGGCCCGGTGCAAGGTTGACCGAATCCCTTCGCACTATGCTCCTGTACACATGGCACTTACTGCTGTCGAAAAGAATGCTTCAACATGCACAACATAAACCCAGCAGGTTTCTCCGCGGCTCCCTGCGAAGACTTTCTACTCACCCCTTCCGCTTGTGGGTGTGGATTGCCTCGAACGGGGGTTGGAGTCTCTCTGTAACTGCTGTATGTGTACATTTCTACGACTGAAAGCCCGGCGATATATATATGATATTTTAGGTCCCCAGCCACGTACGTCTGCGTGCTATCTCTCCCTTTAATCTCTTCCGCGGAGAGCATACCAAATACTCGAGAGAATAATTGGTGTCCCTTCCAGGCAATACACTTCAAGTCGTGCTCTCCCGGACACACACAAAGAGAACGCACCGCATTTTTCAAAACATGATTTTGCGACCCTCCCCCCCCGCACGACTGCTTTCCTCCTTGATCCTCGGTAAGCATCAAACCACACCACTGCTGGGTGGGGTAGTACTCTAGGCTGAGGCAATAACGAACACATAACGCTTCCCATCGTACATCACAACCTCATGCAGACCACACAGACAGCGGTCACCGAAATCAGCTCTCGTACATTCTGTGTTCAATACAATACGTGACGAATGGCGACGAATTGGCACCTGGCTCGAGGCTTTTGATTCTTCTCCCACGCCAGGAGGATGGGCACGCTGCTTGCTGTACTGCAACCTGTCACAAACTCGATCCCCGATCAGAACACGCCTTCTCTCCGAAACCCGCTTGTAGCCTTTCGCACGTGCGGATGCACCCTTGCTCTCGGCTCGGCAAAAATCTATATTGGCGCGCTGCCCAGTTCTCAACACGGGATACGTATTTCAGTTGGTATACCTTTTTCTGTGGTACAACCGACCGTCACACATCTTGAAATAAAATGCAAGAGGGGTGTAGTGTGTCGTAGTACACCCAAAAGGCATCGAGCGATGTATGTATATCTGCTCCCACCGCAGCCCTCCCAAGAGAACAACGACTACAAGCTGCAAGCAGGAAACTTTCTACTCAGGAGCGCCTAGGACGTCGTATTGAGCCGCCCACAACGAGCAACGTCCTCAAGGGAATCGGATCGGATAGTGTCAAATCCAGCCAGCCGTCTATCCGAACTTGGTCTTGATGTTGACCTTGGTCTTGTTCCTTGGTACGATCGCCTTGCAGATGCGGATCTTCCGACCGTCAACGATGGACTCGCACGTCCCACAGTCTCCCTGTCCACGGTGGGGGAGCGATCGACCGCGGCGGTTACAATTCATTTCAGGAACGCCTTGGCCTACGACGAACGACAGCGCGTGCTTGAAATAAACGACGGTCGGTTTGGATCGTAGGAGCCATTGCAGCACTCGCCGAAGACGAAAACAGCGGATAGACGCGGGGCTGCGCGCACACACACGCCCGTCGGCAGGAGATACTACTGTAGCGTAGCGGCTAACAAAGTTGACACGCGAGAATATCAATCCAGCACGATCGCGCGCACGCACACGAAAGACGCACACCGGATGGACCTGATGGCCGCTCGATGACCAACTCGATAAAACCACTCTTTTGTTGATAGATATGTACAAGTAGAAAAAAAATACCATGGTTGTAGGAAACGATTTTCTTTTCAGCAGGAGACCACCTAGAAGGCTTTTTGATACAGGAGGTATGTGGTAAAGGTTGCTCACAACAGGTTCGGGTGGCAAACAAGGTGAGGTGGTACCCAGCCTAACAGGACCTTCTGCTGCTTACACACAGCCGCGGCGGGCGCGTCGCTAGGCGGCGATGGGCATCATGTACGTCTTTTCCGAAGGCGTAACCACACCAATTTTGGTATCTATCTTGTGTACGGCGTAGGCGGGACGAACGTTCTGCAGAATCGACAACATTGCATACAAACACAATCAACATGAGATGGTTATTCGACAGGTTAGCTTGTTGAGAGCGCCGAGCTGCGACGGGATCGCACCTGCGTACACATCGAAATGACAATACTGTGTTTGGTGCAGTGTTTTCGATGCTAGAACCGTCGTCCCGCCTACGGGTGGGCACATCTCATAACCCCCGTTTGTATGGGTCGCATAGGCATGCTCAAACGGTCATCAACCCCATACGGCGAACAACAAACCAACTGGTACTACTTGAGTACAAAACACCATCGGTAGCAACGACTGACTCATCGCGCTAGTTCATCCAACTGCCCGCGATGCTTGTCAGTTCGTTGCAGCTAGCTCAGAATGTGCTATGTTTAGACTGAGAAGGCTCCTCTGCTGTCGGACCTATCGCAACCCCGAACATATCATTTTTCCAATGGCTGGTCTATACTATTTATGACTTGATGTCGTGTTGCAACAACGCAAGTCGTTGCTTTCCAAGCCAAAATCGAAACAATGAACCAGCCAGCTCGCTGACAGGTCAAACTAGCACCAGCTTTTCTACTGACTTGATGTTGGGTTGCTAAACAAGTACCGACGGTCTTCGCGTGCTTCGTCGATCTCACCAAGGCGTACGATTCGGTGGACCGAGATCTGCTGTGGGACGTGCTCGGACGCTTTGGCGTGCCCCCGAAGATGCTGGCGGTCATTCGCCACTTCCACGAGGGCATGAGGGCGCGGGTTCGAACGGACGACGGGCAGTACTCGGAATGGTTTGACGTCGGCCAAGGTCTCCGACAGGGGTGCAACCTGGCCCCGCTGCTGTTCAACTTGTTCTCTGCCGCGATGCGCATGGTCGCAGTGA